ATGATCTTCTATTTATATTTATGTACATTATCTTTGCATTGCATATTTTCGTTTAATATAGTCTATTATCGTATAAGTGAAATTTTATTGGATAATTTCATGATCACATGATTCCAGAATTTTGGCCACGCCAGTCACATGATGTTGGATATAGGCTTCTTGCACCATACAAAAACTCTTTTGTGACTTCTGTAAGTGGTAGAGATTTAATAAAAAGCTTATAAGGCTTTTCAAGTTTTAAAGTTTCATCTACACTTTAACTTCAGACTACTATTTTGAAAACTATAGAATTGGATAACAGTAATAGTCATCAATTTTTAAGTTTTTAAAGTGTTTACTATATATTTGCATTATGTGAAACTAACATAAAATTACATCACAAAGAATAGGCTGAAGACCCTGTTTTGTCAGTTAATGCTTATCAATCATCACAAATGGCTGCTATCATTGTGCATACTGCCAGGCTCTTATAAATTCTTTACTATTTAGTAACTCCATATATTTATATTCATACATGCAATCAATTTCATTACATAGAATATTGCGCTGAACAGCTTCTACGGCAAGTCTAATCATATAGTTATTTTCTTTATTTGATAGTCCAAATACAATTGGAGTTCTGTAACCTGCATTATTCTCAACTACTAAAGATAAAATTGGTGCCTATCACTGTTTAAGTCATACTTTCCATTAATGCTGAAGTAAAATGAGCCAAAGTCAAGTGCTTGCTGAAACTATAAATCATCGCTCAAGGTAAGTTGATAATAATAATCAGAATTGTTTTCAAGCACATTCATATCAGGTTGCTGGTAGTATAATATAGCACCCTTTTGTTTTAATATACCAGTTACCAATTCATACACAATTGTCCAGGAACCTACATTTTTTCTTGTACATAAACTGTCTCTTTCAATAAGTTGATGAAGCTTCATGTCATCACATATCAAATTTTGATCACTATATAAATGTTCAAGTTCATTTTGTGAATTATCATTATGTAGCGTAAAGAATTTTATTTTTATTTTTTTTGTTGTTTGCTTATCTGCTTGATGGTTTGTAATTGCAAGATCACTTGCTTTTCTACTTAAATTAATTCGAGATAATGCAGTTGTTTCTTGAATAATATTTGGTGAAATATGATTACCTTTAATAGACATGCATATAAGAAATTCCATTTCAACCTCAGAAAGCATAATCTCTGTAAGAATTTATACACTATATTTGTGCATGTCAAAAGGATTCTTGAAGTTACGTTGATCTGAATAGTAATTACATGTTTCCAGGCATTTGACAATCCACCACATGATCTTTGACAGCAGCCTTCACTGGAATAAAACCAGGTCCATTGCCAAACATTAATATCACTTTCATTTTCTGCATGTATTTTTTGAACTCGGTATTTTCCATTTTTAGTAAGTTGTAGAAAATCATCAAGGCAGTTTGTTGATTTACTTTCACCTTTTTTAGTCTTCCATCCAAGATAGTCAACAGAACCTTCTACGCGCTCAACTATCACAAGTACTTGTTTTATTGCTTCATTTACTTATTTTCAGCTTTGGACTTTATAACGGATATTTTGTGATATAAGAAGCGAATACAGGTAACGTTCTACTGCTCGCCCAAATGGTAGTCGAACATTGCCATTACTATCTATACGAAAAGGATGGGAAGTCATTTTGAAATTAATTGTATATTTATTATCAGGTGATAACTATCTTCTCGTAGTCTAATCAAAGGCGAGTTGCAGTAGAAAATATAATTTGTGTTCTTCAGTTTCGCTAGGCAAAAAGATTTACGCTCTTTATTATTTTGCCTATTACATAATTTTACTTCATAACTTTAATATTACATTGATTACAGATTAATTACGCTAAAATTCAATATACTTTCAGTTTATTGCAGTCTAATTACGCGGTAATTTCAATTTATTACAGACTAATTATGCCGTAATTCTAATTCCGACCATATAGTAGTGATTTTGGTCACATTTCATTTTAATAAAAGACCGAAACAGTATTGTTATGCTACATGCACGAGTCAAAAACGATATGTATTTTTATTTTATTTTTTTTTTATGGGTCGGGTCAAAAAAGATGGATCGAGTAGGTCAAAAACAATGTTTTTGCGTCAATGGCAGTACCTTGTTTTGTTTTACGTTAATGATGAAACCTATAGGATCTACCAACACTACTTCACCGACTTTTAATTCTAATTTTAAATTAATTATAAATCGTCAGGAAAATGAGTTTAATTGGAACCCCTTTATGAGTTGTAAAAATGCCCAATATTTATACTCATCCATTCTTCACAATTATTTATTCATTTTTCAATAAACGACAATTTGGTGAGTTATGATATAAAATCTACAAAATGCTATTAACGTTAAAGAAACAACAATTTTCGAACCGTGATAAGCCAGTATGAAACATAAACAGGTTGTCTATCCTAAACCAGTACGATAAACCTGATAATTTTATCTGCTTAAAGGATGTCAATAGTCCGATACCGGCTCAAGCTGGTTTGACCCAATCAGTCCGTATTAAGGTCTTTGACACTATTCGAAGTATCATTAATATCCCAATAAGATTTCAAAACTTTTAATAGTTATTTATTTAAGGTTATTTACATTTATCGTAAATAATTTTGGAAAAATGGTTTCTAAAGAAACTTTTGATTTTTGTGACTCTTTACTTGTGCTTTTTATTTTCTTTTTAAATTTTATGTGCTTTATAAATGGTATGAGTTTGAACACTTCATTAATGCATAATTATAAAGTAATTCGATAATATCAAATAAAAATTAAAATTGTTAATTATATTTCCGAAGACATTACTTGGATTAGTGTTATAATAGATCGTTCTGTGTAGGTATTGGATGCTAATTTGAGAAATATCAAATTATATTTTTATTTCTAAAATATCTAAAGAATTATTTGATCTTATTTAGGGTTGATGGCATTTCGATTTATTTCATAGTTGTCTCTTTTATTGGGCTTGCAATTAGTGGTTCGTGTTTTCAATTCTTAACCACATGACAAATAATCATGCAAACTTAGTTCCGTGACATATAAAATTGACGCTATATTATTAGTTTACTTATTAAATTATCGATTTTGGAAATAATTTTATCATTAATTCGAAAGTTACGGAACTCAATTTGCTTAGGTGAAAAAAAAAGGCAAAAGAACATTTTAAAGTTTATAAATTATCATAATTTATCATAAACTTTAAATGTTATCATAAAATTTATAACCATTTCTAATTTAGCAAGTCAAGTTTCGTTAATATTGACTTTAAGTCTATGCCATCAAATTATTTGACAGAAACTTTTTCACAAGACAGTAGGATCGATTTTACGTTCACGTACGTTCGGAATGCAGTCGAACACAAATTTCATTTGCATTACGGTTCACGCTTAAGCTAGAGTTAGAAATAGATATGGTATAGCAGAATTGAACGAGAAAATCTTTTTTAGGAACTAAAAAGAAGTTTATTAGACTAAATTGTTAAATAAACGCGTTTTTTGCAAACCGAACGTTTGGTTTGAATTTTTTTTTATTTTACAAATTAGTCTGATAATTACGTGACTGGAAAACCGATCCTATGTCTTGGCATTGACATTTTTGATTTACTTATAAGATTTGAAAAATATGACAACATAGTTTAAAGTCGCGTTGGTTATCTATACTATCTTACATATTGCGCCGGACTATCTAGTGTTGTATTAAACTGCAGTATTTCAAATGTGTATTGCTAAGTAAAAACCAATCTAAATATAGAATTATATTTATTTTATAGTAATTTATATTTAAATAGACAATTTTGGTTTTTGCTTGACAGCATATCATATTTAAAATTTAATCCTTCGGTATAGAGTTGATCTGAATTTAATAATAAATAATGAACTATATATTTTATTTCACAGGATTGTTTCTATCTAAGTTTAGAAGCCCAAGATGGCTGTCAACACAAGTTCTCCTTAAACGGAGTGTATATTTGTTTAGGTAAAATTAAATACAAATTTAAATTTTTTTAAAATTATGCGGTTAACTAATTTGATATTTTCTATCTAGTTTCCTTTTGCTAATATATTTTCCTTATGGTATTAAATTTTTATCTTTTGGTTGTGCTTATAATTTTTTTTAGTCTTTGGACAAATTTGTATTAATAAAATTTCCGTTAATATTTTTAGCCGCTCTCAAGATTTATAGTTTAATAAATTATCACTATCAAGATCCTACCGTATATTATGAATCTTATCTTTACTCAATTGCTAGTCCCTCTTCTAAGTATTCAATATCTTATCTTTACAACCTTTCCTCTGGTTATAAATTTGAAATATCAATATCAGAATATGGATATGCAAATTTAATTCTTTCTATTGTATATAGTTGGCTTTTGATTTTTTCATATGTAGCTATTTTAGTTTTAATATGTATTTCAAAATTCGTAAAAGATATGGTTCAGCAGAGCATAGATGAAATGGAATCGTCTGCGAATGAAGTACAAGGACCAAGCAATTATCACAGTATTTCTTAATTTATTAAAATCATTTAAATTTCTTTTGAATTCAATTTTTTAGTCAAATTTTTAAAAAAAGTTTTTATAAGTTTTAAAATTTATTAACACTCATTTTTCCGAGCATATTCGCATTTTTCTTGTTGTGAATAAAAGCGAATATAAAGTAAGGCCGTTGAAAGTTAATTATTAGTTTAACGTCAATATTTTGGGCTCAGGCACGGGGGGAGGGGGAAAATTAAACAAACACATATGTTCCCAAGAATATTTGGTCAAATTTCATTGGTCAGCCTTAGTCACATGATTAATGAACTTTATTCTGTGTTGTGATTGGCTGTTTAATTTCCGGGGCAGTTAACCGTGAGGGGGGATGACGTTAACTAATAATCAACTTTGAACGGCCTAATTACAAATTAACCAAGTTAGCATAGTATGTTGACCAGTGTTATACTTAAGTATTTGTTTTTTTTCTGTATTTTCTTTATTTATGTTATAGTTGTCAGGCGAAACCTCTTTAATGGAAGTCGAATTTCCTGGTAAAAGCAAAAGTTGAAACATCAAAAAAAAATGACATCTCAAAACCCTATAAAGACAAATCTTAATCAAGGCTGAGGGATAACATTCGGTTCAATTGGCAGAAAAATTTGCTTGGAAATGTATGTACATTACCATACGTACGTACAGTACATAACTGATAACGTAGATATAGCATTACGGCGTGTATGGATATTGCAACAGCATAGCGGGCTTTCATTGTAATTGGCTGATTTTTGTAGATCATCCCGTGATATTGCAAAAATATCATTG